CTGAACCTTTCAAACTCCTGGGTTCAAGCAATTCTCCTGCCTCAGCCTCCCAAGTAGCTGGCACTACAGGTGCACCACCACACACCCAGCTAATTTTCTATTTTTTTCTCTGCTCAGGGTGGTCTCGAATTCCTGGCCTCAAGCAATCCTCCACATCAGCCTCCCAAAGTACTAGGATTACAGGCGTGAGCACCCAGCCTAATGCAAAACTTAACAGCATCACTTGATACCATCTGTTTCTGCTGTGATCATGTAAATTCAGACATATGATGGAAACAGAATAATTTACAGCCCCTCTAATTAAGAACTGTACAGTTTTCCCCTCATTGTTTTATAAACCCTGTTCCTAATTCTCTTTTAAAATAACAAAAACAACAACTCTCCATTTGTGGTAAAGGATAACTAATGTTGAAGTAATTTTTCTTACCTAACATTATGAAAAAATAAACACTGGAAGCAAGGACTTACTTGTACATACCAACAAATCTAATTTATATACTTTTCCATATTGATATTCCCTAAAGAAAATAAAATATGTGACACTTAGGATTATAGGAGTATACCTACTGGAGAAGTATACGTGTCACGAATTAGTTAATAAGGTTTAAGAAAATACTTGTTTTTTTCTTGTGGGGAAAAAGCATCTTATACTTCTTAAAAATCTTCCCAAGAACTTACAGAAATGCAAGTGCTAAGTATACCCAGGCAGGCAGAATTGTCTTATCAAATTTATGGATATCTTTAATAAATGTTTCCTGGTTTAAATAGTTTAAAATTACATAATTGTTATTAATAAAATTTTATTAAAACAGGCAATATATGAATACTTTTTGTCCACAAAACTAAACTCTTTTTTTTTTTTTTTTTTTTGAGCAGAGTCTTGCTTTGTTGCCTAGGCTAGAGTGCAGTGCCGTGGCGTCAGCCTAGCTCACAGCAACCTCAAACTCCTGGAAGCAGATCCTTCTGTCTCAGCCTCCCCAAGTAGCTGGGACTACAGGCATGCGCACCATGCCCGGCTAATTTTTTTCTATATATATTAGTTGGCCAATTAATTTCTTTCTATTTATAGTAGAGACGGGGTCTCGCTCTTGCTCAGGCTGGTTTTCGAACTCCGACCTCGAGCATCCGCCCGCCTCGGCCTCCCAGAGTGCTAGGATTACAGGCGTGAGCCACCGCGCCCGGCCTAAACTCTTTTTTAAATCACTACCTAGGTCTTGGTCTACAATTCTCAGAGGTAACCACAGTCATCAGTTTATTTTTCCTTATCGAACTTATTTTTTACATATATATATGTGTGTGTGCATATGTATATGTACACACACATGTATATTTCTATTAAAAATATAGCATTATTTTGTCGATATGGATATGTTTTTAAAAAGGGGATAATGCCCTACATGTAGTAAAACTTAATTTTAATGATTCTTTTCCCATGTCTAAACATATATAACAACCTCATTACAAAATAAACTTTTTAATCTTGGATAATTTTCCAGCATGTGAATATGCCATCATTTACTATGGAATTCCCTGATACATATTTTAGCTTATTTACAAGTTCTTGCTATAACAAACTTTAATATATTTTTTATTGTGTGTGTATATGTATGTATGTATATTTCTAATGTAAGTTCTAAAATGCTCAACTGCTTAATCATGAGATATATGCATCTTAAATTTTAATAGATATTGTAAAATTTCTCTCCAAAATGGCTATATTAATTTATATCCCAATAGCAAATGAGTATTTATTTTTTTACACATTTGCCAATACTTAAGCTCTTTGATTTATACCAAAATCTGAGGATAAAAGTAATCTGTTATTTTACCGTTTCTCTAATTATTAGTGAGTTTATATTTATTGATCATTTGCATTTTAAAACAATCTAAAGCTAGTTCTTTCTTTCTTTCTTTTTTTGTTTCACAACAAAGAGAGAGATATCACATTTTCTGGGCAGACATTTTGCGCAAAACACTCTGGGATACTGGGATTGAGGAACTTTCTTAATCACTTCACTTTTCAAACTATTGGCCAATTATTTTCCCTGCTCTACAGCAGAAATGATACACTTTCTATAGAGGGACAGACTGCAAATACTGTAGGCTTTGTGACCATTATGGTCTCGTTTCAGCTAGTCAACTCGGCCACTGTAAGCACAAAGTAGCTATGACATATGTAACTAATAGGAGTGGTATATTCCAATAAAACATTATTTACAAAAAGAGCACGGGATGGAAACTGCCCAGTGGGTTGTATGTAGTTTGCTGCTGATTAGCACGTTAAGAGTCGGTAACGAGTTAACAGGCTTCCTATGAGAGCGTTTCATCCAACGTCTATGTGAACAGTCAAGTGATGAGCAAGTTACTCCCATTGCAGTCAATCCATTCCACAGTTTAATCCTCCAACTGTTAAAAAGTATATATTTTAATGCCAAATCTGCTTCTGGAGAAACAAAGTTTACCTATTCCATATGATGGACCTTCACTAAACTGGGAGAGAGATTTTCTAATCCAAACTTTTTGTGTCTGTCTCTGGTCTAAATATTTCTATGTCATTGCTATATACATCATCAACTAAAGTGTGGGTTCCAAGTTTTCATCCTAGTGACAATCAGAATTCTTTACTCTCTAATTTTCATCTGACAGTGAAGTTGTACTTCACTTTATTGTCCTATACATAAGGACAATATTGCTCAGGTTACCTGCTCAGGTTACCAGGTTACCCCCTTTACCTTATTCCTGACCAGCTAAATCTCTCTAGTCCCCTGCCTTGACTCTTCCCAAACCTTTGGTATACTTTCTTCGTACATTTTTTTTTTTTGAGACAAGATCTTGCTCTGTTGCCTAGGCTACAGTGCAGTGGTGTCATCATAGCTCACTGCACCTCAAACTCCTGGGCTCAATCAATCTGCCTCAGCCTCCCCCGAGTAAGCTGAGACTACAGGTGTGCACCACTACATCCAGCTAATTTTTCTACTTTTTGTAGAGACAGGTTCACTCTGGCTCAGACTGGTCTCAAGTGATCCTCTCATCTCAGCCTCCCAAAATGCTGGGATTATAGGTGTAGCCACCACACCTGACCTACTTTTTTTTTAAGTTATACTTATATTGGATTTAAGTTCTTCTATTACAAAACATAAATCTTTCAGAAAAAATTAACAAAAGAATAAAATAACGGACACTCTTAATCCACAACTGTTATTCATGTTGTATGTCCTTACAAATGTATCCATGTTTTTGGCTTATCCTGACTTTTCCCACTCCATGGATGCACTGGCCACAAATCCTGGACCAGACAACTCTTCCTCTAAACTATATTCTATGAATGCCTACATCCTTATATGATAGCTAGTCATATTTATGACATCATCCTTGACATGGTGGTAAAGAGTGGCCTTTTTTTCTTTTAAGTCTTACAAAAGGCTACCTATTAAAGACACTTACATTAAATTATTCTTATTTCTTGTTTAGTATCATAAATACCACTTCTTTTTTTTTTTTTTTTTTTTTTTTGAGACAGAGTCTCGCTTTGTTGCCCAGGCTAGAGTGAGTGCCATGGCATCAGCCTAGCTGACAGCAACCTCAAACTCCTGGGCTCAAGCAATCCTCCTCCCTCAGCCTCCCAAGTAGCTGGGACTACAGGCATGCGCCACCATGCCCGGCTAATTTTTTTCTATATATATTAGTTGGCCAATTAATTTGTTTCTATTTATAGTAGAGACGGGGTCT